AGGGTTGTTTATATTTCACATCATTAATCAGAATCTGCAAAGTAACTAAAATAAATGTAGTGGAGTAAAAATACCAGAATTGTAGTGGAGTAGAATTACAAAGTAACAATGAGCTGGCATGTGGGTATATATTAATGCTTCCCATTATGGACACAAGCGATTTTCACCCATTTATTAATTACATGTTTTACATTTGTACACACCAATTTGTTTCCTATCCCCTAAACCTCCAGGGCTGTACACAGTTTAATACTGTCAACTTCTAATTTTGGGAAAAACGAAAACGTCTTTTAAAACTACAATTCCCAGTAGAGACGCTATAGAACATGTTGCGAAACACAATAGCCAGCATGTGTAGTTCTGGGGGGGGCGTTCGAGTCCAGTTTTGGAAAGTATGCCGTGGTTTCGTTCCATTTCAAAGAGCTGTTTGGCGCTCGGCGTAACCTTGGCGCACTGCCACTCCAACATCCAATCCCAGAGCTTGAAGATTAATCACGGGGTTTGTCAACGAGACTGTAGTCCCAAACGATAGCTGGGGATTATGGGTAGTGTAGTGTCTTCGGCCATACTAAACTCTGAATTTTTTTTCGGATATCATATCGCATTAACACCATATCCCGACGTGCATTGCGGCTAAAACATCCAATCAGCGAGCTGAGGATCTTTCCTACGTCACTTTACAGCCCCGCCCACTTTTGGGGAAACCAGCTGTCATTTGAACGGCGATCAAGCCTGAAGCCACAGAGCTCTTCTGTCCTTTCTTCTTAGAGGAAGTACAGAAACACGTAACTCTGGATTTGTTTTAATGTTTGAGGTGCAATAAACGACACAGCAGCTTTTTGGCATGTTACAACTATTATTTTCTGCCTCGCAGCTGGCAAAATTACAGCCTCGCCCACTGATTTTAATTTAACCATAGGATATCGAGCCCGATCGTCGATTTCAAATGTGTGCTCTAAAATGATATTTATAAATGACTATTATCATTATTATAAGCAAGACAATAAATGGCAAAGATATGTAGAAAATAAACGTATTTAAGATACGTTCATAACAAACGTAACGTGGGAGAAAATATGTTTCTAGAAGATATGTAGAAAATAAACGTATTTGAGATACGTTCATAACAAACGTAACGTGGGAGAAAATATGTTTCTAGAAGATATGTAGAAAATAAACGTATTTGAGATACGTTCATAACAAACGTAACGTGGGAGAAAATACGTTTCTAGCTAAACGTAATTGAGAATGCAGTTTAGTTCTGTGGGAACGTAATTTGTAGGAGACAGGGTTGTCCAGAGATATGACTGTGCAAAACACACCGGTCAATTTTGACCGAAAATAGTATGGGAAGGGGGGTATGACCTAACGCAAGAGAAGGGTTAATAATGGAAGAAAAATAAAGAAAATACAAATTTCTTTTTTTTTACTTGTAGTACTGATACCGTCCACTAGACTCCTAGTTACGTCGCGATCTGCGTACATGATTTAGTTCGGCAGCCAAATACCGCAAAATAATCTGTGACGCGTTTGTGTGTATTCTTGTGTTTGTTTCCCGGGGAAACACTCACAAGACACACCGGCTGATGTTATGCCTGCTGTGACGTTAAGTTACCGCTTGTAATTATGCCTTTACAAGCTTCAAAGTTGTATTTATCATCTGAATTTGGCGAAACAAGTTTAATATTCTAAAAACCAAGACTTTGTTTATTTGAAATCAGATGAAAACAAACTGTCACGGACCCTGCCGTGTTATCTATGATTAATATACACTTTTCACTCAGAATATCAGCGGGAGGGGCAGCGGCGCTGAGTAACTGCAGAGTGCGGGTTGACAGGTGCCTGTGTTGACATTCCCCTTATTGTGTCTTAGGTTCAAGTTAGACAACTAATGGGTTAGTGTTCATGACTTCATGTTTATGTCATCTTAATGGTTAATCTTAATGCACATACATTTTCCATGCTTTCCAATAGTTTTAAATAGTTGTATTCCACTGTTAAATAACCTGTTCAATACAAACATGCCACTTGTACAAATTAAATAACATTTCTGTGAACTGATATTGTTTAGTGAGCTTATTAGAGGATGTTCCCTGAAAGATTGTAAAATGTCAATGAAGATGTCAGATTTAGTATATTTGTTAATAATTACATACAATACATGGAATTTGTGTGTGTGTGTTCCAAGTGAATCTGCGGCCCCCTGGTGGCCAGTACATAAATGATGTGGCCCCCACCACCATCCAAGTTGCCCATCCCTGATATAGATACTTGTAACAGAAAAGAAAAAAAGTCAAGATAGGATGGGTCAAGCTACTTTTTTTTTTTTACTTAAAGTGGACCTATCATGCTATATTTGAATAATATAGTGTAGGACCATACCTATATAAGGCATATTTATACTTTTTTTTTTTCAAAATACCAAACAGATCATGCATTTTAGCCATGCCTCATTTTGCTCAATTTGACATTTTTTAGCTCTGTTTTTGCAGGGGCAGATTCTGTGAGAACAGCACCATCTACTGGCCTGGCATATGTACTACAGCGTCTCCAGCGCTTTCGAACGGCAATGGCCGTGGCTGTCTCCTCCTGATTGGTGGAGTTGGCCCAATAGCCGTAGCGCCACTGTCCTGACGTCAGGACAGTGTTCAAATCTGGATCAGTTTTTATCAGATCCGTTGCAGCCCCTTTTTTAGAGATTTGGGTATGGAGGAAAATAGAGAGGGTTGTGTTTTCTGACACTTGGTGAGTTCCCTGGAACACCGGGGACACATATTCATGTATAAAAGACGTACAAAAGTGCATTTTGCATGATAGGTCCCCTTTAAGTGATAAATCATAGCATATAAAAGGACAGTAAAATGCCATTTCCTTAAAATGACCCAAACAACCGCAAAGTAAAATGATGACCTGTCATTCATCTTGTGGCTCTGTGATAATGATCCATAGTTTCTAAATCCTCAAATGTATTTTTCTTGCTCTCTGTTCCTGCGACAAAACATCTGATGCAGCCCTGAAATAAATACCTATTGGAAACAAAATCATCGTGGACACCTTCGTCTGCCACCTTACACCTTCACCCATTTTTGTTCATGTCATTTGATTTCTGCACACACAGCATTTAAAGTGCTGGGACCCTTCACTTTTAATTAAAGCAAGCCAGCTAATGCTAAGTGTACTTAGAGTGTGCATTAACCGTCTTTGTAATGGGCCCCTGCCTCATAAATAATGTCTGTGCTGTCATGAGGAACCTGGGAAAGGCATTAAGAGATAGTGAAAGGTACCCGCATGTGTGGCAGCAGGCAGACAGACAGAAGGGACGATGCTGGGAGCTGTGGGGGTCTCAGGTCTGCTGGGAGTAACCTTGGCAAAGCCGTGTCTCACACAAATCATCCCGCTGGCCTCCCCTCACTCCCCCCTCCCCCCTCCCCTTTCACCTCCTTTATCCGTCACAACTGAGGGATTCCCGCTGACCTTTGGCTTCTCTTGAGGACTTTCCTGGTCACGATGCATTCAATTCCCAGCTCCAGCATCGATAGCAGTGAGAGGAATCACTATCGATCAGCGTGTTCTCCATTCTGAATAAAACAGAGCACAATGATGGAGGTTTTGCTCTATTTTAGTAACCCTCTTATGTATTATTGATGAAGTGGGTTGCCAGGAAAGGGAAATATAACTGCTGAAACAAGAGTTACAGAATGTGCAGTCACGTTGTTGCCTCTGTATATTTTCATAACTTAAACAATAAAGGTATTCACACCTGAATGACGACACCTTAAAAACATACATTTAAGGAAGATTTATTGTGAGAAAATGCTATTTACTGTTGTTTTTTGTCTTTTAAAATGTATGTTTGTCCTTCAACCTTTACCTAATCATGCTATATTAAACCAGAATAAATGGTAACGCCAGCTATTTGTGGCATTGCAGTTTTGGAAAAAAAAGAGAGCAGCTGACCAACAGCAGTGCTGCTAAACAATGCTGGAGACGTGTGCCCCTTTAAATTGCCCACACTGCAGATAAGGTAAGGAGTGGTAGGCTTCAGTGCGGATGGAGAGTGCTTTTTTTGTTGCCCTCTCCTTCTCCAGCATGTCTCTTGGTATGCAGAGCAGTGCCCTCATGTCGGATTGACCAAGCTTTACACAGCAGTGGCCACTGTGACACTGAAATATTTCCCCCAGTAATCTTTCACCTGGAAGATAAATCGTATCACCTGCCGCTGTGCTGACACCATGCAGGACCAACAATAAAGGCCGCTTTATTATAACATGTGTATGTAATTGCATAATTGCATGGCCCAAAACACAAGGCGATTCCTTCATGCATGCGTGTCCGAAGACGCATGCTCTGATCACCATGTGGAAAACTCTGATGTGTGTGTGTGTGTGTGTGTGTGTGTGTGTGTGTGTGTGTGTGTGTGTGTGTGTGTGTGTGTGTGTGTGTGTGTGTGTGTGTGTGTGTGTGTGTGTGTGTGTGTGTGTGTGTGTGTGTGTGTGTGTGTGTGCACATGGACGCACTTTGCATGATCTGCAGCTCAGACACTGGATTTTGGTTTAAGATGTTGTTCATGTGGCGAGAGCAAGCCTAGCGAGCAATAAACATGTGCACTGGCTGAGTGGCGGGTGGCAGATTTGTTCTCGCACTGACATGAAAAGAGGACTTATAATTGATGCATATGTCCCAGAACGCGTCTAATTATTAAATCTTGGTAATAAGATTATGTTTTTTTTGTACGCCTTCTCCCTCCTCCTCGCTTGCCTCGCTTGTTTCCTCCCTCTGCAGATGTTGCCTCTCAGCATCAGCTCCCTTTACCTTTGCGGCTGTCTGCAGCCACAGCTCGTCACAGTCACGCTGGAGGGGAACAGCGGAGGCAGATCTTTCTGCTGATCCCAGCACCTTTGGTTATTAAGGGAAGCACCAGCACCTCCTCGATCGCTTCCCTCCTCCCTTTTTTGCCAATCGCCATCCCACGACAAGGAAAGGAGTCGGGGAGGGGAAAGCGAGGACACACCCGCACATACTGTACCCGCTTTACACCGCGAGGATGACAACATGAGGTGGATATCATCGACTGCCCCGAATTGGATTTTTTTTTAACCCGCTCTGAAGAAGGAAGGGCTGTTTGTCGCAGCTGGTTATTCACCTTCCTGGTACCGGAGTCCAGATGACTGCAGGTATGTATGTATGTATGTATGTATGGATAAAGCAGATCTGATTGTATGTTCTAAAGTATTGGCGTTTTGTTGTTAATGCACTGATTTGCACTTCCATTGTAATCGTCATAGTATAGACAATAAGCATGTATTTATGGATTTGTTTCATTAGGATTTTATTTGTGAAACTGCTGTGAGTGGAGATGATGCAGGCAAGATATGCAGGTTTTCTCTTCGAACCTATTTCCTTCTATGGATAAATTATTTATAGATGTTTTTGAATATTTCAGAGACAGGCACCATTTCAGGACTAACATGCCCGAACAAAACAAAACAGTTAATATGAAGCATGTGTGTTTGTTTGGTACAGCAGTAAAGCTGATATGCATCTTGTACGTTTGTGTTTAGACTGCAGTGGTTTTCTATGATATTCTAGACAGGATGCTGTCTGTATGAATTTGGTTGCTGCCTGCTGCATTGCCATATTCATGGCTTGACTGCAAAAAGGTAGTCCCACTCATTACACTGGATTTTGTCCATTGCAGTAGATCAGTGTCCTAATTTACAAGCGTCTGTATGTTTTATATGCTGGTTAGCCCCCGAGTTTACCTGCATTGAAGCAATTTATATGCAAGGCAGATAGCTTATTTGCATATTAATTTGCCCGAATCAGAAGCAGCAGTGTCAGCCTCAAGTTTCCACAAAGCTGATTCAATATTGCATTGATTGCTTCTCACGACAGTCTAACTTTAAATAACTCTTATCAGATTTACTGACATTGTTTCAGAGGGTGGATTCATTGTCATCTCTTATCAGTTGTTTAAAGCACGTTACTGACATCTCTGGAGTAAATGCAGTATTAAGTGCTGAGTCATGTCTCTGGTTTACCTGACCTTGTTGTTTGTCTTTGCTCTGTCTGTCCTGCATGCAGTCGGATCCTAGGTGACATCCTGTGGCCGTCAGGTCTTTACGGTGTCGAGCCCCCTCCTTCTCCCGGCCCCTGCCTGCAGTTCTCCAGGCTGCAGGACCCAGACTCATTGAAAGGTGCAGGCCTCCTCCCCCTGCAGAATGACTGTTGCCACGGGCGACCCTTCTGACGAGGCGGCTGCTCACCCGGGGCTGGACTATGACCCGGAGGCCGACCATGAGTGCTGTGAGAGGGTGGTCATCAACATCTCAGGGCTGCGCTTTGAGACTCAACTCAAAACCCTCTCCCAGTTTCCAGAGACCCTGCTGGGGGACCCCAAAAAGAGGATGCGCTACTTTGACCCGCTGAGGAACGAGTACTTTTTCGACAGGAACAGAACCAGCTTTGACGCCATATTGTATTATTACCAATCAGGGGGCCGGCTAAGAAGGCCGGTCAACGTCACCCTTGATATTTTCTCAGAGGAGATCCGCTTCTACGAGCTTGGCGACGAGGCCATCGAGATATTCAGAGAAGACGAGGGTTTCGTCAAGGAGGAGGAGCGGCCTCTTCCTGAAAATGAATTTCAGAGACAGGTGTGGCTGCTGTTCGAGTACCCAGAGAGCTCAGGTCCTGCTAGGATTATTGCCATAATCTCTGTCATGGTCATCCTGATATCTATTGTCAGTTTCTGTTTGGAGACTCTCCCCATTTTGCGAAACGATGACGACGACAGGTCTCCAACGAAAATCTATTACCCTGAGACCAACACCACAGTCATCAGCTATACATCCACCTACTTCACTGACCCCTTCTTCATCCTGGAGACTCTCTGCATTATATGGTTCTCCTTTGAGTTTCTAGTGCGCTTCTTTGCCTGCCCCAGCAAAGCGGGCTTTTTTGGTAATATGATGAACACAATTGATGTTGTTGCTATCATCCCTTACTTCATCACTCTTGGCACAGAGCTCGCAGAAAAGCCAGATGACGGTCAAGCGGGTCAACAAGCCATGTCTTTAGCCATTCTCAGGGTCATCCGCTTAGTACGAGTGTTCAGGATTTTCAAGCTGTCACGTCACTCCAAGGGGCTTCAGATTTTGGGTCAGACGCTGAAAGCCAGCATGAGAGAACTCGGCCTGCTCATTTTCTTCCTCTTCATAGGTGTCATCCTTTTCTCAAGCGCTGTCTACTTTGCCGAAGCAGATGAGCCCGACTCACAGTTCGAAAGCATCCCAGATGCGTTTTGGTGGGCGGTGGTGTCCATGACAACAGTTGGCTACGGTGATATGGTCCCAACTACCATCGGTGGCAAGATCGTGGGCTCCCTCTGTGCCATTGCAGGTGTGCTGACCATTGCCTTGCCCGTGCCTGTCATCGTGTCCAACTTCAACTACTTCTATCACCGTGAGACTGAAGGCGAAGAGCAGGCGCAGTACTTGCAGGTCAACGTGGCCAAAACCGATTCAGCCGAAGAGCTGAAGAAGAGCCGCAGCGGCTCCACCATCAGTAAATCGGACTATATGGAGATTCAGGAGGCAGTGAACAACAGCCGGGAGGACATTCAGGAGGAGAACCTCAAGACGGCCAACTGCACGCTGGCAAACACAAACTATGTAAACATTACAAAAATGCTCACAGACGTGTAGTCGTCGGCTATCTTCCTCCCCGTCATGGCGGGAAATGTGGAGCCGGCAATTAGACAGGACTGGTGTACAGCCTCCCACCTCACGTGTGCTGGAAAAAACAAGGCAATAGAATTCAGGATGCTGATGATGATAAACAGTGAAAAAAATATATAACTAAGACCATCCGCTCACTCTTCGCTCATCCTGTCTTCACCCCTCACAACTTGCCCTTAAAAACTCCTGATAACTGTCAAACAGAGTGAAATTTTAAATTTTGCATATCTGCATGGAGTTGGCTTTGTTTTGTGTGTGTGGCTGTTTTGAAAAAAAATGACAATGCCTAAACTAAAATTGTTCCTGCTCACAACAGTAGCCAACAGTAGTGCACCAAAAGAAAAGAACAAGGGAGAAACACGGCAAGAAAAACAAACAAGTATTGCTTCCAAAAGAATAAAAAGCAACACAATTCCTGCTTTAGTCCCCCATCCCTCATTTCCCAAGCCACGCTGCTCTGCCATGCGCTTTCTGAAGAGCCCTACTCGCGCGCTACATATGCTGCTTCTTGGAGCCAATAAAAAACTGTCTTATGATTCACCATTTAGGAACAAGAGGATGTGTGAGCATAAAGCAAGCTCACCCCACTACTGGATGGCCTGTGGGTGACTTATGAGGAGGTTTAAGTACACCACGTTATTTCAAGGATGAATGACAGCCATCAGCACTTAGCTCATGGTTCGACACCTTTTTTTCCCAGCAGACATCAGTATCTGATGAATGGCTGAGAATGGCCTTGCCTTTTCACTGCTTTGGTCTTACATGTACTGTATGTATTGCAATGCAAGCTTCCCCCGCCCCCCTTCCATTCACCCAAAACTGGTCTTACTGCAGAGCTTTGAGGACAACTTGAATGTTTCTTCTTGTTTTGTTTGTTTTTCACAGTTTCACACACACAGACACGCACATACTTATTCAAATAAGGTAGGTTAACTGTGACTTAACTGATAGCCGGTAGGTAGGTGCTGTTACTAGTCATAGTCAGTAGATAATTGCATGACATTTTTATCTGAAAGAGAATTACCACTTGTTTCTTGACTGCCACTTGCTTCATCACACCACTGTATATTTGTGTGTACACTGCCTTCTATAAAGATTCACACGTTTAAAAGGACGCCTGCGGGTCAAGAACCTATAGCTGTACGTTAGAGGATTTCTTAAGGAATACCCATAAGGTCAAACCCTGCTCTTATCGTGGTGTCCTTGTCGATATTTACATTCCATGTAGAAGTCATCGCTTTAAACTATTGCCAGAAAAACCGCTGAGCTGTGATTTCAGGCGTGAACTCACACTCTAGTTTTGGACATGGATCCCAGTCGCAGATGTGATAGACTCGTAGTGCTGTCTTTTTCACAGTTTTGTCACAGGATCACGTTGTCATGATCGAAATAGCAACTTTTAGGATTCTTGTATAGAGTAATGCTTCCCCCCCGAACTGCCTTTTTATCTGGGTTTACGCTAATCTCCTAATGTTGCATGACCTCAAAAACATTCCTAGAAGCATGCATTTAAGATCATAGAAGAAACAAAACAAAAAAATATAATAATTACAATAGATATATTTATTTCATATATATATAGATATATGAGTAAAATATGTATACAGACAGGACACATACTATACAGGACACATATACTATTATCAGAGAATAAAAAAAACTTTAAATAGCAATGTTTAAGAGAAAGCAAGAGCCTTTCCACAATGCGCAAATCATTGCCATGTTTTTAATAAAAAAAACAATTTTGAATGACAATAATGGTTGTTCTGAGCACAGTGTCAGTTTCAGATCCAAAGACACACTCTTACTAGCCATTTTAAAAGCATCATTTTCGCTTTCAGCAAACCAGACACATGAATACAAAAAATGTTGCTTCACTTAATATAAAAAAGGCTTTCTGTGTTAAAGGCATCGCGTTGTTCAAAACTGTATCATCCCTAGGCAAGAGTCTTGTATCAGAAAGATTTACATTGGTGATAATTTGCTCAGAATTGAAATGGACTCTGGCTGTCCTTTTTAGAAGTCTCTGGTGCCAGAAGCTCAATCTGTCTCTAAATGTTGGCATCGAATGTGGAGTAGCTTCTAGGATTGTGTCCAGCTGAGATTCATTCACTGTTCGCTCAACACTGCCAAGGTATCAGTTAAAGGCAGTAATGTCAATATGGGAAGGATAATTAGCAGCGTTGTGTAGCAGATATTGGCTAACCTGGGGGTCCGCTGACTTCACTCCTGAGTCGCTTGCCTTTCTTCATCTTCTCACAGATGTCTTAGGTAATTAGAAAGGTGATGGATTAGGAGTAGCTGTGTAGCAAGAAATGTCTACATGCATTCTGTCATGCCAGGATGTACATCTGTATTCTTAGGGTTTCATTCTGCTCACTACAGTCTTTAACCTGCAGTAGCAACAATGTTTTTACACCATCGCTGCCAATATGTGCTCAGGATGCCTCGTCCAACTGCCTGACATGAGGCTTCTGAAGTCCAGATCTGTGTCTGCTTTCATGTCTCTTTAAAGAGACTTTCAGTAAATAAAATTGAGTTATATTTGTTGCAATTCTTAGAATAGCATAAAAGGCGGATTGAGGTCTGTAACCGAAGGTAGGACCAGATTTAGTTTAGCAATATTCCCATATTCATTTGGTGGAGAGGTCTTTGTGGACATCATGTTTGTTTAAAAAAACGTAATGGACCTTCACAGTCCCACCAAGATCCTGTTTATCAGTTGAGTATTTTTGGAGGTGTGTTGATGAACGGCTATGTAGGAGTTTTCTGTGAGTGTGTGTGTGTGTGTGTGTGTGTGTGTGTGTGTGTGTGTGTGTGTGTGTGTGTGGTGTGTGTGTGTGTGTGTGTGTGTGTGTGTGTGTGTGTGTGTGTGCGTGTGCGTGTGTGTGTGTGTAAGGAAGAGAGAACGACAAAGAGAACCACTGAATGTTAGTGTCTTTGCCTGGTTGTACAGCTGCATTTATGCAACAGACATTTACATCTGTATATGTGAAGAAAAAAAACACTCACAGTCTGACCAAAAATATGTGTCTATGCATGCAAATGCATTGTATCTCATTGTCGTCATTTCATTTGTTTTGAACATATGTATATGATAAATGTTACACATGCAACATTTATCTGTTATGTTTGAAATTGGGCACCTCACTGTACCTCAGCCAAAGTCACTGTAGCAACTCATACACTACAACATCTAACATCAACAGTTAGTTCTGCTTAAAGCACAAAGACAAGTAGAATCATACACCTGCAGATTTAATCTGTAAATGTTTTTATTCAGTGGAAACAAAGTCAACTACAATGATGTATTGCTTTATGAGGAGCAATACATCCTCAAAAAAAGTCATCTCTCACCTGCTGAGGGTCTCACCAGCAAATCCGCTCCATGAGAAGGGTGCCCAACATGTGTGACTACACTGAGAAATCTATGCAGAAGATGATTATTAACTGGTAGTTGAGAAGGTTTAAGAACATCATGTTTTACTCCGGCACCAATTACATGTTGATCCTGAGAGCTGACAGCGCTTTTGAAACGAGCCCCTCAAGCAGAAGAGACACACTTTGCAATATTCTGCTGATGTACAAACACTCACACGTTGGATGAATGTGAATGGGAGCTTTTGTTTGTTTTAAATGCGATGTCAGCTCTTTGAGACAACAAAGATATTCATACTGTACATAAGGGAAGCAAGACGATCAATATGCAATCTGTATGCATGTGTGTGTTTGAGGTTAAACGTTTTATTTTCGTTTGACCCCCAGAGCCTGATAGTGTGGCATCCACTGACACAATATGTACAGTTCTCCACCCCCCCACATCATAGAGGCCTGAAAACATCCATCAACGTTGGTACAGTGGATAATGGATTTTCTTTCTATGAAATGAAATGTGAGAGAATAATGTAAATAATAACTAATGGATGAAGGAGCAAAAACCATGTACAATATACTGTATGTGAAGTCTGGATTTAAAATGTAGTATTATCTGCACTTTACAAGACAAAAAGGACAATCTAAGGACAAGAAAAACATGTGAAATAAAAAATGCATATAATCCTTCCAAATGATCATAACCCTGACGAAGTAATATCAATAATGAAGCCAATAATAATTCAACTGAAATGCTGTGGTGTCTTTTTTTGTTTCACTTTCTTTGCTTGAAATGTGCTTTTCAATGTGAAGAAGAATATGTAAAAGGTATTTGTTCCCAAGTTTCTCCAGCCTTTTCCCTTCACATCACATTGTTGGCAGGGGTATTTAATCCAAAAATGATTTAAGGAGCTATTTTTAGCCGAAGAGCGTCTGCGCTGATGCAAAACGCCATGCATCGATCAAAGGCCTCTTTGTTGTTATTCTTAGGACATCCAGCGTCTTTGTAGCCAGGGGCTGTGTGGGAGACATTTTCAAACGCCTCCTGGTATCTTCAGCTTCATCCTCCCTTTAAGTGCACGGTATATGCTCCCTGCAGTTAAAAGAGAGCGCGGGGTGTTCTATTAATAGCCTTTTTGTTGGAGAAAGAGGAGGATGGATGTGAGCAGAGGAGGAGACGGAGAGAAAGGTGAAGAGGAAGGAAAAACATCTTAAAAAATCCTTCATAGTGAACTCTTAAAGCAGCACAAACCTGACAACCATGTGCAAGGAGCCACAATAGGAAAGATGACACTCAAAATGACTGTGTTTTTCGGGGCAAAATGTTTACTTCAGATTTTCTCCCACTGCAATTTGGCCATTATACACGAAGGTATAATTTATGTCTCTCAGGTGATGTTATACTCCTTTCTTCCGATGATAAATGTTTGCATCTGCTCTCCTGTCACATTGTACTATTTTGGAGGTAACTGCCATCTGGTGTTGTGCTGCTGTCTGCTATCTTTAGTCCGCTTGTGGTTAAACCACAGCTCTGCATTGCTAGCGGGAACTCTTGGGGCCTCGGTGCTTTAGCTACATCTCTGCTGTATTCATTCATCTTGCTTTGATCCGCGTTGCACCACTCTGCAGCTCTGTGTGCTGAAACCAGGGCAGACAGGGAGAGGCAGGTGGGATGGAGAGCACAGGCCTGCTGCAGGTGGCCAACACTGCCTGTTGTGGTTGTTGTTGTTGTTAGGGTATGTGTGTGTGGGTATTAGTCAGCGAGGGTAGCATGCCCACAGGAGCACGGTTGAGCAGTCAGACTGGTTTGCCCTGTGAGTACCAGCTTGTAATTAGGAGAGCGCTGTGGGACTTGTGCTAATCCAACAGGGCTGCCCTGGCACCGGACCACACCCCGTTATTAGGAGTCCTTCAGCTTTTCACACTCATTAACTCCTGCCCTGATATCATCCACCAGTCCTCCTCACTGAGAAGCCTTGCTTCCTAAATATACTTTCATCATCAAGAGAAACATACTGTAGCCGGGACTGGTTATAGTTGTTCAGTGAAGATTCAATTGTTGGAGATGTTCAGTTTTATTTGGGACCTTGTTTGTGCAGTGATGAGGGGGAAAATAAAAATGCATTACCGCCCTCTAGGGGTGCTGCTGCAGAAATGACACAATGTGCATCAGTCTCTCCCTGATTAAGACTAAAGAAAGGTACTTTTTTTTCATGAGGATATAAGTCAGTGAAGAAATATACTGATTCTTTACTTAAAAACACAATAACCCCAAATACTTTTTCTTAAAAATGTATATTATATTTAAAAACGATCTACTAGATAGCAAAAGTAAAAGTAGGCTTCTCATTAATGACCCCGTATACTACCTTACAATAAATAAATAACATTTTCTAAGTACTGTAGCATATTACTAATTCAAACTGTTATTTGAAAAAACAGACATGGGTATTGGGAAATGTATATCTGAAGTGTAAATACAGGCCCAAATGGTGTTTTTGTGTGTGGCTACAAGAATTGTTTTTCGCAATTTCTGCCCAAATTCTTAGAAATGCCTCACATTAAAACTTAATCATACGGTGTTATGCTGAATCTTTATCTGGAAATCCACAATAACTGCAGATGTCAAATAACTACAAAATGGTACTCTGAAATGTAGTACAGTTGAAGTATAAATGTATAGGTATTCAGCAGCAAGCTCAAAATACTTGTAAGTATACCTCAATATTTATA